GACTGCGCTCTCTTTCAATCAGCAAACTTGGTGCCGCTCGCCATCATTGGCGGCATCATCGCGGCGCTGGTCACATTCGGAGGCTCCGCGGGCAAAAAGAAGCGATCATGAAGTCACGAAGAGCATGTCGGACGCGCCACAGCGGCTATCCACTGAAAATACCCGCGAGTTCAGCCCTCTGATTTCTTGTCTTCCGAATTCGTGTCTGCCTTCCGATCTGGTTTCCACTTCTCAGGTCTCACGAATTCATGCTGCTATTCGGAACTTCTACTTATGTTGTACAGCGCAACCGCCCTCGTGGGCATCGCGGTGGCGCCTCTATGTGTACAGTCGGGTGCAAGAGGAGGCTGGGTCGAGCGACGACGTCTGGTGGCGCCTTCTAGTGCGCTACAAAATCAATCGTACTCGTCCATATCGGCCGAATACTCGACAGCTTGGTCATCACGAGGGCCGCCGACTGGTCCGCCAGAAGTCACCGCTCCTTCAGTCCATCCAGCAGGTGGCTCCATATAATCCTCCTCTGCCTCCCTGATCTTTCTGCGCATACGTTGCTCGGGCGTCTCATTGGCCAAAGCCCTCTCTTCGTCCGAGTCCAACTCCCTTTCCAGCTGCGCCTTGGTAGGCTTGATCGGGATAGGCGCTCGGATTTTTGGTGATTCGATGCGATTCGGGTGCAGTGAGGGTACGTGAGAGCGTCTCCCTAGACCCGGTCGCCGATGTCCGCCTGAAGAGCTCACGAGCGAGCTCAGCGCTGTGGACAATGGGGCGGAGGCTCAACATACGTGCGTGATGCGCGGACAATCATCTCGTACACTCACGCTTGCCGCTAAAGGATCTTCGCAGATCAGCGCTGCCTGGTGTAGGCGTACCTACCGAGACCTTTGCATTTCGGTTCGCTGGCGTCAGCGGGGTTCCTTTGCTGAGAGGATTGATTTTTGAACTCGGAGGCTCTTTGCGTACAGTTGCTGAAGCGTCATTCCTGACTTCTTGCTCTTGAGATTTGCGGTTGGCACCGTCGTCATCTTGGCGACTCCAATCGGACCCCTGCCCCGCTTCTGCCACCTGATCTGCGTTAACAGAACTAGAAGCTTTGCTCGTGGCAGAGCGGAGATGATTGCTATCCGCTTCCTCCTTGCTTTGCTTTGCGCTCTCCTTGCCTGCTTTCTTTTGCTTTGACTTAGAATCCTGCCGTTTCTTTGACCCCTTCGTCTTTGGCTGAACACGCTGAGATACGACTGGGCTTGACAGGGGATCCGCATCTTCTACCTCGTGATCGTCGGCAGCAGCCTGGCCGCCTTGATCCAGAGCATGACTAGACTCCGCTGGAACTTGGTCGGTCTTGTCAGCAGCTGCATCCTGGGCATCTTTGCCACCTCCCGCGCCATGGCACTCATCGCCCCTTTGTCGCGTATTGCGAGCTGACACGTCAGACTTCGTTGGCGACGTGTTTGTGCTTCTGCTCCTCTCCGACATGCTCTCTTCCCAACTATTCCGATTCTTTCTGCTTTTGCGCCGCAAGCCTCTGCCCTTGGGCAACGAAGATACAGCTTGATCCGCCCGATCGTCTTCGACTTCCTGATCAATGTGCATCTCAACATCGTTTTGGGCAGCCCG